AACCCCTCTGTCAAAATCAGGCCACCAATTAATAGAAAATTCATCAATAAATATTGTCTAAATCGCCTTGAGTAAGAAGTACAAGCACCCCACTCCCAACCACATCGCACAAGTGAACGAAGGGAAGCCTCCTCCTCTCAACCACAACCACAATCTGAGATAATTGAATACATGCGACGATTGGAGTTGCACATGACGCATGTTGAAAGTCAACAAGCTTCCATCCATAGGGGTTAGGTCACTCTGAACAAAAGTTTGCACAGATATTCTGTAAGCACTCATAGTCTGGTACCTTGGCCTAGCATAGATGAGTTTGGTGCACTTGTCCAATGGCTTGGGGACAACCCTATTTTTTCACAAGGAGGTGTAGTTCAAGCATCAGATGAAGGAGAAGAAACAAGAAGTTCTTCAGAAGATGACGATGATGATGATAAAAATGTGACTGACTCTAGAGGAAGTGGTGAAAATTGAGGAGATTGAACTTACAATTTGAATGCACGACTATATAGTTATTTAGTGTAGGTGATGTTTTATTGGCCATTAATGTAATTTGTGTCCTAAGGTTGTATTTCTCTTCACTTACATATATAGTAACTCTTGAGATTTAGTATTAATGATTCGATTATATGCTTAACCCTAAGTTAGGTCCATGAACCATGTTGTAATTCCTGATTTAGTTACATAATATTGGGTTTATCAGATATTGGGTTGAAATAATATTAATCGTACTTGTTAATAACAATTATTTTACGAATAAAATGCTTTCAGTGGCAAAAAAAATCAAACAACTATTATTCTGACAGTTATTTGAAGTCATTTACATTTAAAGCACCCAATGTCATACTGTGCAAATATAAATCATGTATTATGTCATACATAAACATAACATAACACACTAAAGTGATTTTATATTTAAACTTCATAGTTCTCTGATTTAGTGGTCTTTGTCATTGAATATTTGGTCCAACCTTTGAAGTAGAATTGGATAAGAAAAATAAAGAATATCAAAATTAATATAATATTTTCAATCAAATTTTGGATCACATAAATCACTATAAAAAAAATGTTTATTATCTACGGATAAAATCCGTAGGTAATGACAAAAATCTGTAGGTAATGTCACTTTACTTACGGATTTCTTTCCGTAGAAAATCCGTATGTAATTTGGTCGTAGGTAATTACCTACGGATTTTTTCCGTAGATAATTACCTACGGAATATAATCCGTAGGTAATGCACTCACCTAAACAAAATATTTTTATTTATTACAACCCCCTCCCTTATTTTTTATTATTACCTAGGACTCCCCTCCCCTTTATATTATATTTTTATTATTTATTATATTTTCGAACTTTGAATTATTATTAGATTAAGGGAATTGTCATTGGCAAGATTCGAACCCAAGTACCTTAGAGTTGGAGGTCGATACTCCAACATATAGCTATTAGGATATTTTGATAATAATTTACAAATAAATTATATTTATATTTATCAGTGTAAATATATAAATATAAAATATATTTATATTTTGATATATTTATATATTTATATATTTATATATTTGTATTTATATATTTGTATTTATATATTTATATTTATATATTTATATATTTATATATTTATATATTTATATATTTATATATTTATATATTTATATTTATATATTTATGTATTTATATATTTATGTATTTATATATTTAGATATTTATCTATTTACATATTTATGTATTTATGTATTTATATATTTATGTATTTATGTATTTATATATTTATATATTTATGTATTTATGTATTTATGTATTTATATATTTATATATTTATGTATTTATATATTTATGTATTTATATATTTATATATTTATCTATTTATGTATTTGTGTATTTATATATTTATGTATTTATATATTTATGTATTTATGTATTTATGTATTTATGTATTTATGTATTTATGTATTTATATATTTATGTATTTATGTATTTATATATTTATGTATTTATGTATTTATGTATTTATATATATTTATGTATTGATATATTTATATATTTATATATTTACACGAATAAATATAAGTATAATTTAGTTGTAAGTTATTATTAGAATATTCTAATAGTTTAGTGGTTGGAGTATCGAGTTTTCAACTTTAAGGTATTGTGTTCGATTCTTGCTAGTGACAATTCTTTTAGTTTAATATAATTTACCTACGGATAATATCCGTAGGTAATGGATAATTACTCACGTATAGAATTCGTAGGTAATATCCGTAGGTAATGTAAAATTTACCTACGGATAGTAATTACGTAGGTATTATCCACGGATTACATTACCTACGGATAATATCCGTAGGTAATGGATAATTACCTACGAATAGAATTCCGTAGGTAATATCCATAGGTAATGTACAATTTACCTACGGATTTTCATCCGTGGGTAATATCCGTAGGTAATGTAAAATTTACCTACGGATTTTTATCCGTAGGTAATATTCCGTAGGTAATAGGCTTTTTTTTTGTAGTGAATGAAGAACTACATGGATAAACATATACAAACCTCCTACTAGGGAAGGACGCATTATTGGTTCAGTATGACGTATTAGTTCTTCAGTTGGACATTCAATGTGACTTGGAAAGACCTAAGTAACGTGTAAGTTGATTTAGAAGACATAACAATTATAGTATGACAATATTATATGAAGTACAAATACCCTGACAATATTATACAATGTTATATTCATATATTATTTCCACTGATTTAGGCAAAATATGGCAACCTGTGAAAGAATACAAACGGTATGAATGAACTATGTATGAGACTCTGTTGATAAATCTTATACTTACACATAATTTCATTTTTTAGAACTAAAACTGAACCAACTACTACGTTCTTCCTTATTTCAGCATCAGCTATGACTTTCCGATGAACACTAGCCTCAACAATTGTTGTAGGGTCCTATACAAAACGAAATTACCCAATTGAATTGAATGTTGACATTAAAAACATACATATAAATGTAATAATTGAATATGTAAACATTACATTATCTTAATTGTAATAGTCATGTCTCCTAGGTCGTTAGGCTTACAAGATTTAACGTCTGTGACCAATGAAGCACTATTACTATGCTTAATATATAGTGCTTAAACTTGTTTCGTGTATATGTTATCATGTTCATGTAACAATCCTATAAATAAATAAAGTCAGTCAATATATTAAACTGTATCATTTAAATGAAAGGATTAAGTCGCAAAATTTCACCATGAACTCTTATGAATAGAAGAGCTCATTATCATGGATTGCTATTAAAATCAAGATCATCACTTTCTTCAGCTATATGCCGTACAAATTCTTGAGTGGGTATGGGGTCAACAGAAATGTGGTTATTCATAATAGCTTGAACAGAGCCCGTAGGACCTAGAATTATGGATGATTTGGAGTTGCAAACACGCATAAATGCAGTAAGGTCTATGGTGTCAATGTCTAATCCTTCCCAAGGTTCCATTGATAACTTACATAAAAGATTTCAGATTTAACCACACATAAAATCTTACATATTATTATATCTAAACACATACTCAACCATAAACTCTAAACCCAAGTGCATAAAGCAAATTAAAGTCTACAGTCACAAACACATACCCAACCGGAAACCGGAAACCCAAGTTCATATACAACTTTAACATACCTCTTCCTTTTTCTGGTAGTTGTCTTCCTTATAGATATGAAGATGTTGATCTCTACAAGATTTTTTTTTTTGCTTGTAGACCTTCACATGTGTCTTACTTACAATACGCATATGTAATAAAATGGGTTATTTACAAAAATACCCTTATTAAAGTTTTCAAATTATAATCAATATCAATTACTTATTTAGTTATCCCTAAAGAGGTAAAAACATAACTCTACCTTTGCGTACTTGAATAAATCCAGACGGAAGATTTTTCCATTTGGATTACCGTCACGCAGGTGCAACAAAAATAGGTATTTCCTCACATTTGTATTATTTGTTGGAAAGAAGTCATCTGCTATATTGATTGTTGGATTAAGTTATGTCTTAATACAATATTTATAATTTTTATATTGGTGTGATTGTTTCCAACTTATATATATATATATATATATATATATATATATATATATATATATATTGTCAACAGTAGAAATTCTATTCTTCTGTAATTGTGAGCTCCGTAATCGTAGTAGAACTGAGTGAGACCCCGGTAATCAGAGAGAGGGAGAACCCCGTCTTCTATGGCTGTGAGCTTCGTAATCGCAGAGAGGGAGACCAAAACGCTGAGTGAAAAGTGCAAGAAACGTGAAGGGAGAGAAGAAGAAAAAATGAAACAAAAGACAAAAAATGAAAGGTACTATACATTTAATATTTTTAATTAAAATTGTCGTTCGGATGTTTAATATCAGTTGTCAAAATATTGTGACCCTAAATGTTATAAGGTTATGAATGAAGAATAAAAAAGTTATTGCCAATAAGACATAAAACAAGTGGTAAAAACAGCAATGATGGAAATTTTACCTTTAACTTGTGGATATAAAGTTTGTCATTAAAGCTATAAGCATTTAATTCCAGGTCTAACTTTTCATTATTATGGAATATGCAAGAGGAAGAAAAAGATAGAGAGAAATTAGTGTGATTAAATTTTATAATACTTTTTAAGGTGTGTAACTTTCAACATAGCGAGTCTTGTCAAATTTAGGCTAAAAAGAATTAGTCTTTTAAAAACTATGAACAAACACAACCAATGAGTCACAATATTAGAGTATGCTTCATCTATCATATGCAATGTTTATAAACATTGCGAAAACATCATAGCCATTATTATTCCTTATTCACTTGAGCATTACAATATATAATCGAGAAATTTGATTTGGACATTAAAACCACGTGAAGGTTCTTATAATAACGCTTACCAAAAGGCGAGTAATAAATACAGAACATAAAATAAAAGAAGATACATTGTTAATTATGTTTGTCACAAGTTCTTCTTGCAGTTATATATTGGTCCTAGTCTTGGCACAAAGACGAAGATGATTCTTCTTGTGTTGGGTAATTCCTGGCAATACTTCAAGATCAATGTCTTCCTTTACCATCCCTTGAGGCAATTCCCAATCAAAGGAACGAAGAAGATTAGCAAGGACTAATTCTAGTGTCACAACCGCCATAGCTATACCTGGGCAAATTCTACGACCTGATCCAAAAGGAATTAGTTCGAAATCTTGTCCATGAAAATCTATAGCACAGTCTAAGAATCTTTCTGGGTAAAACTCCTCAGGATTTTTCCAAGCTTCTGGATCTCTATGAATAACCCAAGCATTCACGATCACAATTGCCTTGGCTGGAACTCGGTAGCCACTAATAATGCAGTCTTCATTTGATTCTCTTGGTACAAGCAGTGGGCCTGGTGGGTACAATCTCAATGCCTCTTTTATCACAGCCTTCAAATAGGAAAGTTTCTGAATGTCATCTTCATCTAAGAAATATTTTTTACCTCCCAAGTTTCTGATTTCCTCTTGAACTTTCTTCATTACTCTAGGGTTTCTTACGAGGGCAGTCATAGTCCAAACTAATGTGGCTGCAGTGGTATCTGTCCCTGCTGCAAGAATGTTCTAAAAAGAAAATAGATATAAGAAGAGAATATAGAAATTTTTTTATAAGAATATTGGTGTAATATTGTTTGCTTTATCTTTCTTATTATCTACCACTTTATGCTTGAGCTAATATTTTGAAAATGAGACCAGCTATGCTTCAAAGACATATAATGAACAGGGTGATAAAATAAAAACTTTCTCTTTCTCTTTGTTGTCAACATTTGCACGATTGTTACAACAAAACAAAAGTATATAAGACCATGACTGTTCTTGTCCTTTTCATTGAGGAAGAACACAAGTGGAATTGGCAATTGATCAAGCCATGCACTTCTTGCAACACGATGATGGATTTGGTGTAAGGAAAACTGATACTTATTGACAGTTTGTAGGGTTATTATTTTTTTTTTCCTCTATGGCTATGTACAAATCATGTAATAAACAGTCACTATCTTTTTCACTGGACAAAGTCATCATAAATCCAAAGGTGAAAGATTTTAGGTTCTCCTTACAACTAAATAATTTTTTTTTTACGTTTTACAATATTTCAGTTACTATAATTTTTCTTTTATAATTTCATAGTTTTTTTTACTGACTTTTATTTGTCTGAATCTCAGGTTTGTATCTCGAAAATATTCAGTTAATAAAGGCAATATGTAATTAGTAAGATATATTACGAGGTTGAGATATCCTATACTTCTTATTTATCTATCTATCTATCAATATATAATATAATATAATATATCATTCTACAAGTTGTTTATCATAAATTTAAAATATATTTTATATTTAAAAATATATTTATTATAAATTTTAATTAATTATATTAAATAAATATTTATCATATACATGGTTTAAAATAAAATATTAATTAGAGTACAAGTGTATATGTAAAATAAATATATTATTAAAAAAAGTTGTAAAAAATATGTTTATTAAAAGGTGAGTATCAATCAATCTTTTTTTCCACTGAATAAAATAGAGGATGTATGATAGGAAAAAAAAATACACGATAATATGAAACATGGAGTAAAAAAATCCTATATATAAAATAAAATTTTAATCATAATATTACAAAACAAAATAATTATTTTAAAAAGTTAATAATATAAAAAGGTGGATACTATGCACATGTGTTTCTCCATGTAAAAATAAAGTAAATAATTACCTTTCTTCTATAATATATATTCGTTATCATTTATGAATTAAAAAATTAAATTCACAGTTATGAAGAAAATATGTTAACACCATTAGATATAATTAATCCGTAAAATTCTTCATAAAATATTTATTTTTATGAATATAAGCTTTATAATTAGCTAACAAAATAATAAATCATAGAAAATAGGAATTAATAAACCATACCATGAGGACCCCTTTGATGTGATCAAAAGTGATATCTATTGAAAGCGAACGGTCATTCTTGAGCTGAAGCAAGACATCAACCATATCCTGTTGATCTGCACGTTCTCTGTTGGGATCCATGTGTTCTTCAATGACATCTTGGTAGAACCTATCAAAGTCCTTGAAGTTTCGATCAAGACGTGCATGCAATCCTCTCAGTTTGTCAACCCAACCCATGAACGGAATATAATCAGAGATGAAGAAGGAGCCCATCATGGCCTGAAGCTCCTTCAGCAACTCATGGAACCTACTCTTTTCACTTCCTTCTTCCTCGTACCTTCTCCCAAAAGCGAGTCTACACATTACAGTGCTTGAGAAAGAAAGTAGTAACTCACTCAAGTTTGTAACACCCGCAGAAGAGGCATGCCCAGATATTCTTTTTATCATCTGTTGCACCTCAAACTTTCTTATAGAGGAAAAGGTTGACACACGCTTGGAGCTGAAGATATGGACAACACAAATTTTTCTGATTTCTCTCCAATATTCATTGTATGAGGAAAAGGCAATCTCTGATCCATTATAGGACAGTTTCTGTTGGCCACATAATTTAGGTCGTCCACTAAACACAAGGTCATGAATTTTGAGTATCTCTTTGGCCAGTTTAGGGGAAGAAATAACAATAGCTGGTCTTAACCCAAATTGAAGGGAGAATATAGGACCATATTTCTTTGAGAGTTGCCATAGCTGCAGATAAAGAATGGAGTTATCTAACTGATGTAAATTTCCTATAATTGGAAGGCCTTGAGGACCTGGAGGACAGGGTGAGTTCTTGAAGGTTCTGAGACTGTTGATGAAGAACAAGAAAAGCACAGGAAAAATAAGACAGAGAACAACTGGTAAGAACAATGTGGAGAGCATATTTGTAAATCTTATCTTTAATCAGTGGATGTTACTAGCCTCTCCCCAGAGCTATTCATTTATAGCATTTATAGGTGTCACATCAATCCTTCAACTTTCCATTATTTCTTTCATAATGCCAAAAGAAGAAATTTTTTCTCCAATCACACCTTCGTTTTTTAATTACTTAAATATTATATTGTAATAGATTTTATTTATTTACATAACAATTTTTTTAAAAATAAAAATATAATACAGTTTTTTTTAAGTTAAGAATTGAATTTTTTGATATATAAAACTTAAACGTCATTAATTTTTTATTTTTTGACAATTAAATTTTGAATAATTTTTTAATTTTATTAAAAAAATAACTAAATATATATATATATATATATAATATTATAATATTTTATTTAATATTTATAATTTTAAATTATATATTTTAAAAATTTTTATATTTCTAAAATTAATAATATATTTAGATTTATTGTTGAAAGTAATAAAATAATAATTTTAAAATATATTATTAAATATTTATTTAGATGTTAATTTTTTTTAATTTTTTTATTTATTTGATATTGTAATATATTTTTTAGAAGTTAATAATAAATTAGGAGGATAATAAAAATCTTAAAATTTATATGTATATAAGATGAGATAATACTTTGATATAAAAATATATTTTTGAAATGTATATTTTTGGTGTGTATTTTGTAATATTTTAGAAAAAAAATATATATATATTATAAAAAAATAAGTTATATTTTAGAATATATATATATATTAAATATAATTTATTTTTACGTTAATAATTATTATTTTAATTTTGCAATATATATATATAATAATAATAATAATAATAATAATAATAATAATTAATTTGAAATTTATATATGTAATTTTAATTTATGTAATATATATATATATATAAATATATAATTATAATATATATAATTATAATATATATAATTTATTTAATATTAAATATAGTCATATTTTTAATAATTTTATATTTATACTTTTTTTAAAATTATAATTCTAAATATAATATTTTTTACTTTATAATTATAATTTATATAATATATATAATTTAAATTTTTTTTTTAATTTTAGTTTAAGATATATTTTTATTTGTAATTATTTAATTTATATTTTAAAAATTATTCAATTATAATCAATTATTTAAAAGAGTGATTCATTATTTTAAAAACTAGAGTATACTTAATTATTTTAAAAAGTAATCAATTATTTGAAAAATTAATCGATTATAATTCAGTAATTGAAAATTAATCAATTAATTTTAAAATAATCGATTAGTTTTTTAAATATACATTAACTAATATATATATATATATATAATATTATAATATATACATTAACTAATATATATATATATATATATATATATATATATAATATTATAATGTTTTATTTAAAATTTATAATTTTAAATGCAGTTTTAAAAAATTTATATATTTATTAGATTAATAATATATTTAGATTTATTGTTGAAAGTAGTAAAATAATATTTTTAAAATATATTATTAAATATTATATTTAAATTTATTTGTATGAATAAATTTTTTTAATTTTTTATTTATTTGATATTATAATTTTTTTAGAAATTAATAATAAATTAGGAGGATAATAAAAATCTTAAAAATTATATGTATATAAGAAGAAATAATATTTTGATGTAAAATTATATATATATATATATATTCTAAAATATAATTTATTTTAATTTCTATAATATAAAATATATATTCCAAAATATAAATTATTTTCATTTCTATAATATATATATATATATATATATATATATATTAAATATAAATTATTTTCAAGTTGATAATTATTATTCTAATTTATGTAAAATATATATATATATATATAATTAATTTAAAGTTCTTAATTTAAGTAGTATATATATATAATTATAATTTATATAATATATTTAATTTATTTAACATTAAAAATAGTTATATTTTTATTAATTTATAATTATAATTTTTTTAAAGTTATAATTCTAAATATAATTTTTTTTTAATTTTATAATTATAATTTTTATAATATATAATTTATAAATAATTATTTTTTTAATTTTAATTTAATATATATTTTTATTTATAATTTTTTAATATATATTTGAGAAATATTCTTTGAAAAACTAATCAATTCTAATCAATTATTTGAAAAACTAATCAATTATAATTAATTATTTAAAAACATTATTGGTTATAATTGAAAAAGTAATAGATTATAATCAATTATTTGAAAATATAATTGATTATTTGAAAATATAATTGATTATTTGAAAATTTAATCAATCATAAAAGATAATTAAAAAATTAATCGATTTAGAATTTCATTTGTTCGCACTCGAATTTTTTAATAGATTTTTTTGTATAAGAAAGAAAAACTAACTAATATATATATATATATATATATATATATATATATATATATATATATATATTCTAAAATATAATTTATTTTAATTTTATATAAAAATATTATTTCTTTTTATATACATTTTCCTCCTAATTTATTATTAATTTCTAAAAAAAATATTACAATATCAAATAAATTAAAAAATTAAAAAAATTTAATCATACAAATAAAAATTATATTTAACTACTTTCAACTATAAATCTAAATATATTATTAATCCAATAAATACATAAATCTATTTAAAACTATATTTAAAACTATAAATTTTATATAAAATATTATAATATTATATATATATATATATATATTACTTAATATAAATTTGAAAAATTATTTAAAAAATTAATTAATTAATTTTCAATTATTCAATTATGATCGATTAATGTCTCAAAATTTATTTTTTAAAAAATTGAGTATAATCTATTAGTTTTTCAAATAATCGATTATAATTGATTATTTTTTCAAATATAATCTATTAATTTTTGAAATATACATTAAATAATTACAAATAAAAATATATATCAAGTTAAAATTTAAAAAAAATTATTTATAAACTATATATATTATATAAATTATAATTATAGAGTTAAAAAAATTATATTCAGAATTATAACCTTAAAAAAAATTATAATTATAAAATTAATAAAAAGAATATTTTTTATATTAAATAAATTATATATATATATATAACATAAATTCAAATTACATATATATCAATTTCAAATTAATTATTATATATATATATATATATTTATTGTATAAATTAAAATAATAATTATCAACTTAAAAATAAATTATATTTTAAATATATATATATATATATATATATATATATATATATATATATATATATCATTCAAAATATTACAAAACATAACAAAAAAAATACCTTTCAAAAATATAATTTTACATCAAAATATTATTTCATCTTATATACATATAATTTTTAAGATTTTTATTATCCTCCTAATTTATTATTAATTTCTTAAAAATATATTACAATATCAAATAAATAAAAAATTAAAAAATATATAATCATACAAATAATATAAATATAATATTTAATAATTTATTTTAAAAATATTATTTTACTACATTCAACAATAAATCTAAATATATACTAGTTTTTTTTATCAAAATAAAAAAATCTATTTAGAATTCGATTTTGAACAAATCGAATTCTAAATTAATTAATTTTTTAATTACTCCATTATGATCGATTAAATTTTCAAATAATTGGTTATAATCGATTACTTTTTCGAATAATAAATTATAATTGATAATTTTTTAAATAATTAATTATAATCGATTAGTTTTTCAAATGATTTATTAGAATCGATTATTTTTTTCAAATAATAAATTATAATTGCTTAATTTCTTAAATATATATTAAAAAATTATAAATAAAAATATATATTATATTAAAATTAAAAAAATAATTATTTATAAATTATATATTATAAAAATTATAATTATAAAATTAAAAAATCATATTTATAATTATAACTTTAAAAGATTTATAATTATAAAATTAATAAAAATATAACTATTTTTAATGTTAAATAAATTATATATATTATATAAATTATAATTATATATATTACTTAAATTAAAAACTTTAAATTATATATATATATATATATATATATATTTCATAAATTAAAATAATAATTATCAACTTGAAAATAAATTATATTTAATATATATATATATATATATATATATATTATTATAGAAATGAAAATAAATTATATTTTGAAAATGAAAATATAATATATATATATATATATATATATATTATTTAATGTATATTTGAAAAATTAATCGATTATTTTAAAAGCTAATCGATTATTTAAAAATGTAATCTGGAAGAACGAATTGTAATTGAGTAATAGAAAAACTAATCGAGTAATTTTAATTGAGTAGTTGAGAATTCGATTCTCTCAACCTAAATGTGAATGCATATTTTTTTTTCTTTAAACCAGTTAAAATTCAATTTTCCCAAGCAATCGAATTCTAAATTTTTTTTTAATTTTTATTTATTTTGTTAAAAAAGAAAAACTAACTAATATATATATATATATATATATATATAATATTATAATGTTTTATTTAAAACTTATAGAATTAAATTATAATTTTAAAAAGATTTATATATTTCTTAAATTAATAATATATTTAGATTTATTATTGAAAGCAGTAAAATAATATTTTAAAAATATATTATTAAATATTATATTTATATTTTATTTGTATGGTTTTTTTTAATTCTTTGATTTATTTGATATTGTATTATTTTTTTTAGAAATGAATAATAAATTAGGAGGATAATAAAAATCTTAAAAATTATATATATATATATATATATATATATATATATATATATATATATAAAAAGATGAAATAATATTTTGATGTAAAATTATATTTTTGAAATGTAGTTTTTTTATGTGTTTTATAATATTTTGAAAGATATATATGTTTTATATTATAGAAATGAAAATAAGTTATACTTTGAAATAAATATATATATATATATATATATATATATATATTAAAATATAATT